GAAGGGTGGCATTTTCATAAGGCTACTAATATTATTAATTCTTATATAATTCTTCGGTAAATTACAGCCAACATCCCCAACCTTTTTGGTGACAAACCAAACTCAACCTCTAATTAATTAGAGGGGTTTGTCCTCATTGATAGTTTCCATCCAAAATGTACATTAAATTGCCTTGAAATGAGATAATAGCCCTTAAACTTAAATAAACAAGAAAAAAAAATTATATGAGAAGGAAAACATATAGAAAAAGCCCCTCACTCCCAACCTCGCATCCCACCACCATCCACCGGCACAAACCCAAACCACATTATCCCAGTCCTCCTACCACCACCACTACTGCCAATACAGGAAAAATGAGATCTTTGGTAAACAATAGAGAAGTCAAAATGAAATCTTTACCAAGTTCTTCTAAATCAACTAAAATGCCAAGAAAACAAACCAAAATTGCATACTCAAATGAAAGAATACTACATTTCAAAAGGACAATAAAATGGGTAAAAACTTCAAGCTGCAGAACTCAAATTTTTTCTTTTCACCAAGCATGATTTGAAGTGTGGAACTCAGAATGTCTCTTACCCTTTGAGGAAGCAGATGTCGGCTGACACCGGAATGGTTAGGATCCTGTAGTATGAAACTTTGTCTTTTCTGAATAGAGATCATAGGCCCTCTAAGGCATGACAGAGACCTATGATGCACCGACAAGGACACGTGCGTCCGACACAATACATGTCAGATACACCGACGCGTGATTTTTCAAAAAAGTACCGACATGACACATCGCCGACACGTTGATCAAAATCTTTAAAAATCATCATTTATATAGTATAAATTTAGTTTTACACCTGTTATTAATTTTTTTTGTTGAAATCTTTTAAATATGAGTACCTATTTGTTATTTACCAATAAATTTGAGTTGAAAATATATAATATTTTTAATAAACAATGAAAAATGTTTATGGTAGAGTGTCCGAGAAGTGTCGGTATCGACACATGTCGAACACGGACATGCTACTCTAATTGATGTGTCCGTGCTAAGAGACAGAGATCGAATTTATACTTACATTATTCCTTAGCAAGCCTGTAATTCCGTAGGCTCGCTAAGGTGGTCAAAATAGATATTTCAGGAGATATCATTACACAGGTCAATAGAGTTAAATGTGAAATTAACTATGGAATACAATCCTTAATTCCCAAAGGAATAGTTGCAATTGACGTTTCCAAGCTAGTGGGAAAACATTCTGCAGGCTTGCCTAATGGCTTGTCAGAAAAGTTTCAAATGGTTTGAGATATAAAGATTCATGTCATCCCAAAAGGCAAGTAGTGTGATAATCAGGAGTACTGCAGCCCAGAACCATAGAGGCACTAAAACTCAAAATTTTTGAATAGCACAGAAGGGAGAAAGGTGATCATTTGCATGAAATACATAAAAAAAACCTGAAGAAAATCACACCTTCAGAAACCAAACTTTCACGCATGTCTTCAATCGTCAAGGTCTTAGGGGTTTCTAGTAAAGCTGTTTGTCTGTTCCTTTTGAGATGGTACAAACTACTTTTGGCAAACTGATTCCCAAGACTCACAAGTGGAGGTTTATAGATGTTGGCACAAAATTCCATCCTTAAAGAACTTATTCATAAATAAGAAATTAAGGCCAAAAGCATATCCTACTCAGCTTGACAGTTAATATAAAAACCCTTTTTAATTCCAACTACCAAGGGCGCTAAACCTCTCATCCAACTAATCAATACACATGTTATAAGTGTAAACTAAATTTGACAACCTAAATATCAAGAAAACAACCAATCATGCATGGACGTGTTACTAATTGTTACACCCTCAGATTTGATCATTATGCAATTGTCACATCGCTTGTTCTATGAAATAGAATCAAAACAATTGCAAGCTAGCACAATGACAAATATAACAAGCCCCGCTGATAAGAATTTCTGAAAAGGCAGTGTACCTTAGAAGTGAAGTCCTTCGTCCCTGTTTGAACAACATTTGCAGCTGACTGTGCAGCCGATGCCGCCACCATAGATAACTTACCAAATCCCTGCGTATACAACACCACTTTAGTAACAATCAACACGTAAATAACCAAAAATATCTGCATAAGCATATGTCCCAATGCACCTGAGTAACAGACGAAAGAACATCTCCCTGAGAATTGTTCCTGGGCACCGGAGGAGGGGTTGACCCAAACCCAACATATTTTCCACCTTGGGAGGGTGGGATCCCCTCAGGCCGAGTCTCATTTTCTACCATCTTCCTAGAAAAGAAGTCCTCCTTATTTGCAGCCGATGCCTCCAATTGTGCCCGGGAATAAATATCCTGGGTCGACTTCGACCTTGACGGTGCACCACCCCCATTTCCACCGCTCCTAAAATCTCCCACAGTATTATTCCTCCTAATATTATTATTTGAACTTCCACTAAGCCCTCCATCATCATAACTATCCCAGCTATCCCAACCCGCACTGTTCCCAGATACCCC